CCCGGCACGCTGAGGCTCCCCCGGCTCCGGCAGCAGCGCTCCCCCCCGGAACCCGCCGGGCACCGGAGAGGGGGAGCTCGCCCCGAATCCATCGGAGGGTCTCCAGGAGGGTTTTCTTGCGGGGCAGGGATGTTTGAATCTTGCAGGTGTGAAATACAAAGCTGTGTTTCGTGCCAGGTAGATACAGGCAATGTGTGTATTTGTGATTGTGATATGTGTGGAAACCAACCATGGGACAGTTATAAAGACGAATTTTAATAATAACTGAGGAAAGTAAAGCATGGAAGAAGGCCTTTGACCCTATCTTTTCTTCACAATTAACCTTGGTTGATTTAGGAGCATTTGAATTAAAGAGTTAAGGATGTTGCTTTTTGCTTGTAGTTAAGCCTTAAAGAGTTTTGCAATAATAACCTTAAAGAATTTTGCAATAATAACCTTTTGAAGTATAATTTTAGAATATTACTTGTATCCTTGAAACTATGGCTTTGGAATATATAAAAAGGAAACATGCTTATCTCACACCTTAAAAAACCAGAGAAAAACAGCTTGAGAAAGGAAGATGAACATCACCTCAAGGGTTTATGGGCTCGACCAAAGGGAAGCTGGACATCACTATTATGAGATTTATAGTCTTTACAATTTAAGGGTGGACACATCTGGGGAGCTGGAACCCAACAGATGGGATTCCTCTTTCTTCTTTCAGAAACTGGACCGTCACCATCTGGGGATACTCCTTTGAGATACATCCTGAGAAAAACTAAATCACAATAGTGCATAGAATTGTGACGTAAAAATTTGGCATAGAAACTGCTGAGAAAGCTTATGAGTACCCCTATAAATATCTATAAACTATGACAATCTGTAAGCCTCAACTATCGGTGTGCAGTTGGAGGGAAAACTTCCCCCAGTGTACCCAGCGCTGTATTGCTCATACTTTACCATATTAGTTAATAAATTGATGGCTGCTTGAATATTGGCCTAGTCAAGCCTCTTATTTATAACACAGGAGCCCAAAGCTGAGCCGCAAATGCCACTTTGCAGGATCTAGAGCGATCCCAGGTGGCGATGGTGCGCCGCCTTTGGGGACAGAGGCGATGTCGGTGTCAGGGATTCCCCAGAGAGAGCCGGGGGGGAACGCGGGAGCCCCGGAGTGGGGAGAGCACAGAGGGGTGATCCCGGAGCCGGGGGATGCCCAGTGTTCGGAAGGGTTGGGGGAGGCTGGAGATGAGCCAAGCCCGGGCCCCCGAGGCTGAACGGGGTGGTCACTTGTCCAGCTGGACTTGCGTAGCNCCAACTCATTAAGCTGAGACCTGTTTGGTCTTAAAGTAAAAACCTCAGACTCTTGGCAAAGTAAGAATAGCACACAATGGAAAATCATATCTATAAACAACATGTGCAGAAAGAGAGATAAAAATTGTTTTAATTCTTTTCTCTAAGCTTTCTCGCAGCTTCTCACAGCTTCCCAGGAAAATCCTGGGAGAGCTATGTCTCTTTGTTCAGAAGATATGTGATTACCACATTTACAGGTACCAGAGCACATCCCAGCCCTGCTCCTCGTGATGTCACAGGCCCTATGAGTGTCCTGAGTGTGGGAAGAGGTTTCAGAGCAGCTCCAAGCTCCTACGTCAGTGGATTCACACTGTGGAGAGGCCATACTAGAGTCTTGAGTGCGGCCAGAGCTTCAGGCACAGCTCAGCCTTGACCCGACACCAACGGAGGCGCCACTGAGGGAAGCCCTGTGAGTGCCCCGAGTGCAGGAAGAGCTCCATGCGCTGCTCCAGCTCCATCCCCCATGGGAGGATCAGCGTTGGATGATCCCCAGTGACCCCCTGGTGATCCGTGGTCCTGGTGATCCATATTGAGAAGACACCTGGCTGGGGGGCTCCACCTCTTCCAGGCTCCCTCTGACCTTGATTTTCTTTTCATTTCTCTTTGTCCTTTCCAAACACCCAAAAATGGGGCAAAAACAAAGACCTTGAACTAAGACATGGTCGGTGCCATGGCAGGAACTTGCAGGGGCTGTGTGAGCTGGAGGGAGTGCTCCTGGAAGGGACCTGGGAGCTGCTCACGGCTTTGGGAATCCAGGGCCAAGCGTCTCTGGCCGCACTGAGAGACCCTGGCGGAGGTCCTGGGGCAGCTGCTCAAGGACCCCTGCCCTGGAGCCATGCCCATGTCCCCCTGTCCAGGTTCCTGGTGTCCCCTGTCCCGGATGCCCCTCTCCTTGCTGTCACTCCCGTGTCCCGCCCTGCTCCCATCTCAGTCCGGATCCCATTCCCGGTCTCATTCCCTGTTCCAGTCCCATATTCTCTGTCTGGTTGCTGCTCCCATATTCTCAGTCTCGTATTCCCTAACTTTCCTGTTCCCGTTCTCGTATTCCTGTTGGCATATTTCTATTTCTATATTCCCTCTTCCGTTTCCACATTCCCACTCCCGGTCCCGTTCCCATATTCCAGTTCCTGCATTTCCAGTCCCGTTCCCATATTCCCGTCCTCAATCCCGGTCCTTTCTTCCTACTCCTCATCCCATATTCTCAGTCCCGTTGCCGTTTCCGTATTCCCACTCCCGTTCCCACTTCCGCATTCCCAGTCCTATTCCCGGTCTCTGTCCTCTATTCCCGGTCCCATTCCCGGTCCCTGTCCTGTATTCCCGGCCCCATTCCCNTGAACTCACCCTGGAGAAGTTCATGGAGAAGTGTCCCCAGGAGGGACCCCATGGTGCAGCAGGGGAACGACTCCTCTCCTTGAGCAGCAGGAGAAACAACAGGAATGAACTGAGCAGAGCCCCCAGTGCCTGTCTGCCTGCACC